AATACTCTGACAGATGTCAGATGAGTTATATATTCCCCTATCCTTATTGTTATTATTATTATTATTATTATTGATTGTTCATTGTTGTTGGATTGTGTCGAGTTTCAGTGTGGAAATATATTTCCGCTCTAGTCAGGCTAATCACGTGTTCTTGATCTGAGTTAAGTTGAAGCTCCATAGAATAGACACTGGGAAGGAATCTAGCGCAGATATTCGTCTAACGTAAATTGACGTCCCATACTTGTAAACGTGAGAAAACCAACCGTTATAACACTAATTTTCTTATTTGAAAATTATCAGATCCGTGAAGATTATTAGTTTATTAAATCAATTGTTAGTAATACTTTGTTGTTAATTTGAATATATTTATTTAATCTGTCAGCTGATCATCCTCTGCTTACAGCCTGGCACAGATGTACATTGGCTAAAGTTTCCAACAAAATAAAAACAATGAGATGAATATTAAAACAAATCAAAATTCTCTTGTAGCAATAATAATGAGAAAAACTGGACATTAATAATACATTTGAAGAAGTCAATGAAATAAACGCAAGTATGAAGGAATATTGCGTGTTTGTGAACATCTACCAGCAGGGTTGGAAAAAGGAGTCACTAAATCGATCAACAGCACTATCCTTTTTACTTGGTAGATAGTGAACATCATATCTGTCTTATATCAAGTTCCAAAAAATATACCTCAAGGAGCTAGATTACGGTTACTCTACATAGACGATGTCATCTGGATCAACTCCACAAAATCAAACTTATGTATTCAAAAAGGGTATATTCAGATACTATCTTTACGTTGACTTACGACTGGATCACCGGATACCTAAACTGAATATTATAAACATCTTACCCCTTTCTGTTTTTCGATTACATCTATCTTAATCTTCACATCCATCTTTCCTAGTTCACATGATTCCCTTTTTTGTCTATCGTAATTACTTTGATAACACCCCTCTTATTACATATTATACTCACGCAACAATATGATTATTATCATTATTATTTCAATTGACAAGATTAAATTCTCCTACGATGCATTTTATTCACATGACATTTTTGCATTTTCATTTTGCTATATTACTGTTTTACGGATTGTGACTGGATACTTTACTCCAACCTTAATTAACTAACCTCTCCAATTTACAAATGACACAATATTGAAGTATTTACGTCGTAACAGATGTAAACGTTCACCATTTTTAACATATAACATTGTCAAATTCATTAGTACATTCTTTGTTTTGGCCTTTGTAAAATATCACGATAATTATGAACCTATAACTGTAGAGTCTAATAGTGAAGTTGTTGAAACTAATGGTTCACTCAAATATCCATTGTTTTTGAGTAGTCCATGGGAATTTTCAAACTGTTGAATATTGAAATGCAAGATCTGGAGGATCATACAAAGTTTTAAAAAGTTTCTCATTATAAAGTTATCATTAATTTTTATGTGAATACAATAAAGATATTTCCTCTTTATTTTCAATTACTTAATATCATTTACGTTTCTTTATGTTTAAAATGGTAAAGTGATACAATACCTGTGTCTAGATTATCTAAACCTATATGATAAAATTATTTTGCTGATTGAAATCATGAATCAATTGAAGCTAGACCTGGAAGCACTGAACGGCCGTTTCATCCTATTATGGGACTTCTCAGCAGTGCGCATCCCGTGAGATTCGAACCCAGGACCTACCGGTTTCGCGCTAGGCGCTTAACCAACTAGACCACTAAGCAAGCATCCAACGGTGTTAATGTCTAACTTTAACCAATTCACGAAGTTGCGCCACCGTACACCACTATCTTCAGTGAGTCGATATCTCACAACCAACCTGTGCTTCCAGGTTTTCCATGGTGGTCTAGTTGCAATTGACTCATGATTTCAATCAGTGAAATTTCTAAAATCTCCACAAAACCCCTTCTGATGAAATTATTTTAATTTATGTTAATGGATCTGAACGTTAACCACTTCAGTCGGTCAGATTATTCATTCAATGTAGTTTATTGAAACTAATAATTATTTATAGGTAAATTATTAAAATCTTTCACTTGATAATAAATACGTAAATATTCTTACTTAAACAGAAAATATTTACCATTATTATAAAAAAAATAATTTTGGTGAAATGACTGTAGTTGATAACGAGTGAATATAAAAATAACCACATTAAGTTAATGTGATATACATTTTGAATCATTTATCAATATGCATTATGTTCATTGAAAAGAATTGGTCATTAAAACCGTCTCCTACACCAGACAATACTTATTTATATCTATTCTAAACAACAACAACAACAACAACGAAATGAAAACTGAGCAAACAGTTAACTTTTATCAAGTTTGAATTTACCGATAGTACCAACGAACAATAACTTCTTTGTAGTTTTTGAAATCATTTAATATTTAATGTGTTTAGTATGTTAAATATTGATAATTTAATGTTTCTTTGATTAAAATAAAGTTGTGTAAATGATATGAATTAGTGTAAACAAAATGAAATGAACAAATTATTTTACTACTTACTGAGTCATATAGTCATATCTTGAACAGATAAGATTAGAAAGTAAATAGTGTAATAAGTTATGTGAAATCCGATTGAGTTAAGAAATAAAGTGTATTTATTGAAATTTAAAGCACATTTTGGATTGTTGGGTATTTGTTCAGATGACTTATGACCCTCGTTAGTCTTTTTTTTCTGAAGTAATGTCTAATTCATTAGAACATATTGAACTTGTTTATAATTCTAATGCATTTCTTTGAGTAATTTTGTTTATTCGGTTAGATACTTGCATTCAAAGTAAACTACTTAGAATGTAAATCATGTTTTAAAGAAGTGTGCAAAATGTTTAAGTATTTCCACTTTCATGTACAAATAACTGATAAATAATGAAAATTGTTTTAACAGTTAAATTCAATAGCCTATTTAAGCTAGACTATCATTGAAGATCTGGAAAAACTGGACGGCTGTTTCGTTCTAATATGGAACTCCTCCACAAATCCCTATACTAATGAAAAGTGTCTTTAACATTTTAAAAACAAAGGAATATTATGTTTGCGATTAGTGATGGGGAAGTTGTAATCTTTGGTAAAAACTATGCAAAAATGATTCCATTTATTTACTAATGATGATAATAATGATATATTTCACCAGTTGAAAATGTAAACCACTTGTCAGCAACTTGTTGGCCTGAATAAATCATATTAACTGGTCTTGTTGGTCATGGACCGGGTTATTTATTAGGTCACAGATGTTTACTTCTGAAAACTTGTTCCACGTTTTGTTCAGTAGTCGATTTTGAGCTGTTTCCAAATAATTAATAGTACTTAAAATATATCACTTTCTCTCGATTTATCAAATCTGTATCAAATACTTCAGTTGAATTTTGATAAAAATTCAAAAACACTAAGAATAAATCACACCGTTGATATTTTGGTCGAATTTTGATCAGTCTTACTTGATAGAAGTACATCCCGTGGGAATGGCTTCGATTTAGCCATCGCTTCACAAGCTTATATTGAATAGATGGAATGTGGCTAATAATATAATCAAAACATGTCTACTGCTGATACGTTGACGATCCATCAATTCGAGCCCAAACTTTGCGTGCTAAAACGATATGTCAAACCTTTTATTCTTCCTTGACCCTAATTCCCTTCTGTAGATATATATTCAACATACAACTATGAATACCAATGTACAGCTTAAGTAAACAATTTCTTCGAAAAGAAAAGTTCCTTCATTGAATTCTCTTTATTTTTGTCCAATAATAAAGTAAACAATGCGGAAACCAAGCTGGATATTAAATCAGTATTTCCAGGGTTTGTTCGAGGAAAAAGCAAATTGTCAATGGACACATAAATTGAGTTCCATTATTTGCATAAACGTCCTTGACAATTTTGTACAAAACTACAAAAGCCTGACTTAATACTAACCGGTCTCAACCAAATGTTTATCAATAAAGGAAGATATTCGTCTATCTTATAATTTTATTTGATCTCCATAATTTCATTTTTGTAGGTATGCGTCCAGTCACAGTTACTTGCACCTCATGATTGCTCCTCCTTATGTACGTGTTTCTGAACACGTATGTAAACTGATAGACGCAGTGGGTTGCGACACAGCTGCTAACAAGCTGTCTGGGTAGTTGGTAAAACGTAGACCTTGACTTTTCGATAATGACGAGTTATACGGCATAAAATGTTCTATTGATAACTAATTTAAGTATTTGTGTTAACATGAGACTATTCGATTCACCTCTAAATGATAGGATAATACAGCCAACATTTCTACTTTTTATATATGTCTAAACAAGTATATGTGTCATAAGATTTTTGTAAATATATCGTGCAAATATATCACATAATTCTGATAACCTTCATTTTCCCATTGCATTATCCAAATTTATCAAAGGGATTGATTGCTAATAAGTTTCGTCTTACATTTCAATGATCAATTGCCCTTTACGTATGCATCAACATAAATGACATTAAGTATCAAGATGTACTGAACATATATATAATCATTTCAAATCGCATCATTCATGTAAATTGTGTCATGTGTTTATCAAACAACATTTTTACCCATAAAACCTGGGATCCTTAATTTTATTTTGATTACTGATATGATCACCAAACAAAACGCTACATTCTTTCCTACTTTCAGTATTTTTTTTCTAAATGATATATGTGTTTTAATTGAAATGAACTAGAAATTTTAAATACGATATTTCTATTGAGTATATCATGACTACTAACTAATGTCTTATCAGTCTATGTTAACATTAATCATCATAAACCAGAGAAAAATGAACAACAACAACAACAAGAAAAGAATAAAAATCTATCTATTGCACACATAATAAAATAAGAGACAGAATGTATAAACTACAAATTGTATTAAATCGTTGTTTAATTAATTAAATCGATTTCTTCGTACATTTCTTGAAAACAGAAACAAAACAACAACAACAAAAAAGAGAAACGGTAAAGATTTGTAAGCATAATCAAAATATAACCTTTATATCATGATTACAAGGAAAAATATAAAATGGGTAATAAGAAGACCTAGACTTTTGAATTCATTTTATGATGAAAATATATTGTTCTTACATAACAGTAGGTATAATGTTTATTCTTCAGTAGATTGAATATTCGTTTGATAAGGTGATTGATTTTTACTTCGTGAAATTAATGAATCTATTTGTTAAAAAAGAGAAAAAAATTGTATTTTGATATTTAATTAAATATTGTACAAAATTATTAGATTATCTTAGATTCTATGACAGTTTTCATTATCTATGAATTTATGGTCGGATTATATATCTATGGAAGACATTTGAACGAATCTTAAGTGACCTTGGACCTTGAACAAATAGCTTCAATATTGTTAGTGTGAATTTCGGTTGTAGGGTCAACGAAATGGCGCTTGTGGATAACAACATGAAGTAGGCATCTGTATGCTGTCCAGTCATCTGTATATATTGTAAAGACTGGCTAAACATATTCCCGTATAATTGGTATTATCGTCGTTGCCTGTCGTTTGTAACCCGTTGGAGGTATCTCATTTGGGATGACCTGTCGTATATTCCAAGGATCTGTGAGGTATATTCATGGAAATGCTACTTACTCAGTCTTTTTTAATATTGCATTCTTTGATGAATTTCCGTTTTCTAATTATTTTTTCGTCTATTTCAACGAATCTACCGACTCCTCCAAACGGCTGGTGTAAGCCTGTCATTTTTATTGCATATATATCTCAACAATAATCGTACTGCCGAAGATTCGGTAACATCTGCAAAAGTTGCAGTTAGTGTGATTGGTGCTTTTACTATCCAATTTGTAACAACTATCATGATTTGCCTTAGTCTCAATCTGGATCGAGCGAAAAAATTTCCTGTCCTAGAAGACTTCTTCCAACATAACTAACATCAAAAGACAACTTTGTCATGGTAGTCTGCACACGGTACAGAAGTCATTTGATTACCGCTGTCACAAAGAAATGAAAATTATTGGTAGTCCCATTTGTTGTAGCCGCTCAATGATCATGTCTTCTCTTAAATTCGCTGCAAATCGCTAAAACGTTTCTGACTGGCTCGTCTATAAATTATAGTCTCGCTGAATTTACATGCTGTAAGTATTGAAAGCCAATATATTGGGAACTATTATTTTGGTTATTTGTATATACGTCTAATAAGTATATCCAAAGTTCTATAGTTTCTAATAAGTAATGTTCGTATAAAATTGACGTAAAATTAATATAAATCACTAAATTACACTAACTGTTTTGAAAGAAACTCACCATATATACTAATCACAAATTGATTGAATTAATCACAAAAATAAAATGCAAATTGTTCATAGAGCTATTAATTACATTACGTTTAGTATACAATCAGTTAGAACGTTTTATTCAATTCAGATTCTGACACAAATTTATTTTGCTTCAAGTTGTTATACTTCATTTTAGTACAGAGATATGAAGAGAGGCGAAAATAAGATTAAGTAAAACCAATGGTAGACTACACAAAAAACAATCACTGATAACGTAAAAAAGTATCAAACTAGACATTCTGTTTACATAAACCAATGATGTTTTTGGTTCAAATGATCAGATATCCTATTTCAAATTATTTATAAATTGTTCCTATATAAAACCCATGGCATTTTTATACATAAACTAGGCGATAGCAATACGCTGTTATTTAGTTTAGTTAGCTATGTAAACACTTAATACAACGAGTGAACTGTGAGTGACTATCTGTTTCTTATCTTTTTCAAAACAACGATAGATTTCATAATTTACAGGAAAAAAAGCCAGAATGTTAGATAGAGATGTCACTAAGAGTTGAGAATAAATTCATTACCTAGAATACACTTGAATTTGAAATACTTATTCAAGAGCTCATGATGAAAATATTTTTAATTCAATCTAACTAGGTGTGAGAATAATTTTTGAAACAGTCTATGAAAATTACCTAAGTTTTACGACCAGAAACCTAAAATTTGATATTTTTCTTTGAAAACAAACAAAATATGACTTTTTAATTGTCTAGCAGAGTCATAACGAGTCTTTTACCAGCCACATTGATTAACTTTGAGTAGTAACCAATATAACATTTCAGAATGTGTTACTGGAAAAAATGGGTCTTAATTCTACGCAAAATTATCGTCTTCAGACGATGGATATACGCTGGTAATAAGTGTCAACCAGTACAGAACCGACAACTAGACAATTTTATTGACTGGATCTAATCGTGTAACATTCCATCGATTGTTTCAAATTTTAGCTAATTATATATCTACGACACAGATTATTGTTTTCTAAAACATTATTGACACTTTTTATGTTAAATGTTAGTTATATTTTAATGATTTGGACTTGGAATTAGATCAAGTCAATTAGCCATTCAGAATAACTTTCAAAATCGTAAAGGATAGATAGCAAAGCAGTGACATAGAATAAACTACTTCGAAATGACACAATATTTTGTCAGATTTCTGTAGGAAAATAAATTAATCTCAGTCACCTGATGATCATTTTTGCGTAAGATGATACATAATCCAATAATAAACTATTATATTCATTTACTATAGCTAAACAATGTGAGGAAATCAAAAGTTGGAAAATGAAACTTTGACGAAATTAGTCACGAGTAATCGGAGTTAAAACATTAAAAAAAGATGACAAAATATTTCATTGAAACCATCGGTATTAGTTTCAATCTGTATTAACCAAATTCGCCAATATCCAATCTCTATGTTTCATTGAAAATTTGAAAAAAATTAATTTTTAAATCAAATCAACAACAATACCGGAAATAATTATGAAATTGTTTCCTCATCTTAACACTTAATAATAATTGTTGCATGTATTGTTGGTAAACAAAACACATGAATCATATTATAGAACTGTAAAACTGAGTAAATGTGAAAACATTAGTCATCTGACAGTATGCAAAAGAAAATACGTATTCTGCTTAAGTTATTATATAACTTAATATTTCAATATGATAGTTACCTACGTGAAAACATAGAAATTTATTTGTCTCATGATTTTATATAAAGCTTGAATATTTCCTACTGTTTATCTCAACTGAAAATATTATTATTATGACAGATTATGACAATTTTCGGAAGACTGATAACCAGCGTCATCACAACTTTAGTTTTTTTTGTAACATCATTTAGTTACTTGTAAGTAAGCAAAATATGCAATCAAAATTATAGAGTTTTACAATTTGGAGACAGTAAAAATATTTATGAGGTCAAGTGACAAAACCATGGGTTTATTGATTAATAATTTATTTAACTTGAGATGATAAAACTGAAAGGAATGTTGAAAAGATCACACTTCAGTCTATATTACCTGAGTTTTGCAAATAAGTATAAATATTCTAGATATTATAGTTATTTTGAGTTAACTAATTGTTGAATAAATTTACTTGGTGTTGTTTACTTGAATCTTCCTATTGATGTTTAGAACAGAAATTTTAAACTTCACTCAATCGCACAAGCAATTGGCTATCGGGATTCAGTAGCTAAGTGGATAAAGTGATGGCGTTTGAAGCGAACGGTACTGGGTTCGAGTCCCATAGTGGACGTCAACTGTGAGATACAGGTACATCCAGCTGATGAGTCCCAGATAAGACGAAACGTGCGTCCTGGATCCCACTGTCAGCCGTTATCCATCTCTGTCTATAATTGTTGATTATTTTTGTAACAACAGTATTTTCATGGTAAGAAAGCATGAGAAATACGCATCAAATTAGTAACACGTAATGGGTGTCAGAAATTCTACCAACTACAAGCGGGTATGTGATATGATGAGATTTCGAAATGTAGAAAATAAAGTATTACAATGCTTACCATTCTACATTTGTCTATAAGGAAATAATAAACAAACACTGATGAATTTATCAGCTAGATATTTTCTTAGCAAATTAAGCAGAGCATGTTCATCTTCATGCTCACTTTCATGTTCACTCTTCATTATTATACAACTTAGAGAAACGTGAATATACAAATTATTCTATTTGAAAATAATGGGATTTATTGGAAACCTTATATTTGCAAGATAATCGTTGTGTAATTGAACAGACAATAGAAGGAATAAGTAATTAGTCTTCTAAAAAAATTCTATGGAATAAATTTTCGTATATAAAACTTTTTACCATTAAATGAACGTGAGTTAATACTTCATACTGTACAGTATTGTACTTAGAAGTAAAACAAAATGAGGCTAACTTAACTACACATTTTTTTCTTGATTTTCCAATATAATACAATCAGTTGACGAATAATTTATTACTTCTAAACAACAAAATTATTGAACTGATATTTTAAAATGTGTTAAGTCAGCGAACTTTTCAAATGCTGTTATATTCAGCTTCCATCTTTGACACTCTATTTACCGATGTTTGATTGTAATACATCTTCATACAACATTGAATTGATACCCTGAATGATCTTAGTTTTCATATGATTTATAACAGTAATCTCTGTCAACACTGATTGTTAAATAATATCAGACAGAAAAGTTTCAAAATATAACTTGATACAGTTAATCTTCATTTGATCGTTTCATATTGTAATTGTAAAACAAAAAAGATCCTATCAGAAGAGCTTTTGTGGGTATTATAGTAATTTTAATGGTTGAGATCATGAGTCAGTTGAAGCTTGACCACCATGGAAAACCTTGGTTCGAATCTCGCGAGGCGAGATTGTGGATGAGCACTGCTGAGTCCCACAATAGAACGAAACGGCCGTCCAGTGCTTCCAGGTTTTCCATGGTGGTCTAGATTCAATTGACTCATGATCTCAACCGTTTAAAAAAAACTGTCAAGAAAAGTGTCACTTTGTAAATTTACGATATTTTTCTTATCAGACATATTTTTCAGTTAGTATGAAGTTTTATTCATGAATAATCTAAGTTAAGTCTGTAATTTCACTGCACAGATGTAATTTTTTCATTTTTTTCAATACCAAGAATGACTAACCAACAGATTAAAAGATGTAGGACTAGAAATATTATCATTTATTTACTATTTTGAAGAAGTAATCACAACATTTTATACTCCTCCTAATTATGTATTGAAATCATTCTTTATGGAATGTGATTGATACACTGTTATAAAAAGGTAAACATAATAATTATTTTGTCATCCTTGAATGTTTATCAAAGAAGCACGAATATGTATTTACTTTACATAAGTAAAAACTTAAATTCTATTTTATATATGTTCATAAACTTAGTAGATTAACGAGTTGTCCTAAATTTTAAAGCCCATTTGGTTGAGATTCGTGAACTAGTTTCATAAGTAGAAGTATCGTTTTGACTAATTCAGCAGTATTTAGTATTGTATTAATTTGATTGAATTATCATGACACATATCTGGTTAAGATTCATTGGAGGGTAATTTACTAAAATTTGAAGAATAAGTTAAACTATTGGGTACAAATTACCTATTTATTAGAAAACGAAGTAGTTTTCTAACTAATCCTTGATAAATCAGGGTTAATTTTACTTATCGTTAATTTACTTTAACATTGTAGAAAAAAAGTAGCTGTTTTGAAATCTTAATATATACATGAATAAGAATAGTAGGACAAGATATTCATGGAAAATTTAGTCATGAAAATATATTGCGTATATGTTCAAAATCATTAAAAATAAGTGAGATAATACTCTCACCTTCTGATCGAACATTATCCTCTGTATCCGTTAATGCGTATGTATCCATTTCTCGATCGGTACTTTGTAATTCATCGATTACTTCTAATATTGCTTTCTCAGCATCATGAGCTTCAAGTTCCTTTTAAATGACATGATAAATGAAAGAAAAGATTTAAACTCCTATTCGTTGATTGTGACTGGATTTATCTTTTAAACAAATATTCTAGTGTAGTGGGACATCTTTGAGACATTTCCTATACTTTGTTTTTCAGTTGTTCTTATAATTGATATTAGGCCGATTCCCCAATGGTGTACACATTTCAGAACACAATACATATTAACGACTACAGTTTATTTTCGCACAGCTGAGGTCAAATAACCACCAATCAGACGATTCAACTATGAATATATATATATATATATATATATATATACCAATGAAAATGAATGGTGGTCACAGAAAATCACTAACCAACTGAAGTCAGAAATCTAAACCATTGTATGACAGCTCAGTGGTTTAAATTCCGAGAGCTATCAGAGAGACCTTAAAGTTATGAATTCGATCCTTAATGGGGTTGTGAACGTGCACTTCCGTAGTGTTCCATATTGGAAAGGAAAAGATATACAGTGCTTCCAGATTCTGAATAGTTGTTTAATCGAATTTAGTCATATGAAATTTGAAATCCAACAATTTCTACGACGCCCTTTAAGAAAGATGAACCACATATACACCTGATTCAGAACCGAGAAATACAACACATAGTTTATTCATGATAACTACCTTTACAATTCATGTATAATTTAGTGAAAAAGGTTACGAGCTGAAATACATTTAGGTAAAAGCAAGTAGCATCTTAGGTTCAAGGTTTTATTATTAAAACTTTTTAACTACTGATACTAATTTGAGTAATGAATCAAAATCCCTAAATCTGAGTTTTTTATTTGATATCGTAAATCAGCGAAAATTAAACAATTTTTTAAAACTAGATATAATCTCTGTTAAATACAGTCGTTATCTCCATTCAGTATTCTGATCACATACACTAATTTTAAATTATGCAAACTAGATATAAACTATTCTACGAAAGTAGATAGCATATACCAATAATTTAGAAAGATGATCATGGATGTCATTCTTGAACTGTTATTAATACTTAACATTTCAAATTTACTGAAAGCTTTAATAAATAATAATAAATAGACAAAAACAGGTTGGTTTATAGTTCAGTGAAATTTGGGCATGACTAATTAATTTTCTAAACTGTTCGGAACGTAAGACAGTAAGTTTTGTAAATACTACAGACAAACTGTGAGTATTAATGTGAAGAACATTATAGGTAACTGATAATAACATCTTTTAATGGTGATGTAAACAGAACAGGATAGAAAATCTGTAATCTTTTTTCATTAAAAATGAACAACGTTAGAAATTCATTTTGTTCAATTAAATACAGATATCTTTTCAAAGAGTTTACATTAGATTTGTAAGATTAGATCTACTCCTTAACCCATTTAGTTTTTAAATTAGTTATTCCATAAGTGAGCAATGATTTTCCAAATTGATTTGTCCAACAAAAAATAAAGACCTTGAAAACAATGAAACTGATTTGAATTCTTCTGATTAATTTTATGGAACTCATTCAAGTAGAATAAGTTTAGGTAAGGGACAATAGTAATGAATGATTGACTGACTTGTAGACTGTTGTAGTGAAGTTTTAACATACAACATAATGTTCATTATTAAGTAGGCATATTAAATGGTCATTAGGCTACTGTTACACACAACTATAATCTTTATTACTATTCAATGATTGGACATATAGATTTCATTACATAAAATGATATGCATTTTAATATTGAAATATATTGGATTTATGCATATATTTATATATTTACCAACCTTGGCTAATTCATAAGCTGTAGTAAAAGCTGTTTGAGCATCAAGACGTTTTTTCAATTGTAAATTTGATTGTCCAATCAAAACATTGATATTTAATTGCCATAGTTTATCATTCATTGAACATGCTATATCTAATCCTTTTTCACCATATTCGAATGATTTATTTGGTTTTTGTAATTCTAAATAACATCGACCTAATTCATAACAAAGCCATATTATATCTAATTCATCTGTACATTTTTCAAGTTTTTCTTCCCATCTGTTAATAAAAATAATAATGTTAAGAATCCAAGTAGGAGTTTCAATTTGTTACGTCACGTATGTATGTGAGGAAAAGCTTCAACGCTTAAAAAAGCAAACAGCAACTTTCACCAAAAATTTGGACTATTTTAATGTAACATTTTTATTTGTAATGTTTGTTTGGTTGACCAAATATAACAAGGTAATGGATTTTAAAAAAATGACGAATTGAGTTCCAATATCAGTAAGATCATTTGATCAGTTACTTTAAACTTGATTGGTTTAGTTCGTAAGAACATATTCAGTTATATTTACCTCAATTACCAAGGAAGTTATAGCGGTGTGCTTTTACAAATAATACATTTAATTGATTTTATGCATTCCACAAATAGGTATGTTCACTCATGACTTTAGCCCAGTGTCAATTAGATGAAACTAGACTGGTTTAGTAGAATGACTAAATATCAGACAATTTACCTGGTCATTTGCTAATGATGAAAACTATTTTGCGGCACGAACATTTCCCATCACTTTGTGGTACACCATTATTATAGAATTATACTTCAGAGTTGTTTCCAGTATTCACATTTACCACTGAGTAGTAAAAAAATCTCGTGTTTGTTAGATATTTTGTGGTGATGAACGAATGTTATCGGTCACGTTGTCAAATGACCACTGGTCTAAATAACAAGACAGCGTGCTATATATTTGGATGCAAACGGGTTGTACGAAACTGATGGGGAGTTCAGCTTCAATGTGATTTCATGTTGGTCAGAATTTTGAGGAAAATAGTGGTATCTGTGTTGCGATTTAAGTCATAAATACTTTCCAGTAGGATTGAGATATTCCCACTGACTGATAATTACGTAGTAATTGGTGTCTGTTTAGTCTTTTGTGCGTGTCCAATTCAAATATGTTACATATGCTTCAGTATATTCCTTATTATATCATCTGAAGCATAAAAATTTTTAACCTCAATAATTTCAAATTTTTGCACTCATTTATCATTACGTAAGTGGAACTAGGTACTATTAAATAAAAAGCAGACTGACATCTGGCAACAACAAACAGTATATTCGAGAAAATTTATGCCTTGAACTTTCAAAATCGCTCTTAGTCAACATTCATTTGATTATCTAAAAGTGTTAGTTCAACGTTACTTTCTTATCGATTAATTTTTACTCATACATAGATTCTCAAAATGTGTCTTTTACAGGAGATTTCACACTTTAAGGATTTAAATTCTTTTGAAAAAGATGTTTGTTTAAATTGGTTTTTATTATGAATTAACACGTTTACGTTAATCATAAGTAAACAAACAGAAATTATCTTTTTATATTCAACATACATTTTAATAGCTGAATCGTAATCTCCTTTTTTCGCATATACACGTCCCATATTATCCATTGAATGAGAAATAACCTCTGATAAATTATTTTCTTGTCCGAGGTCATATGCAGCTTGATGAGCTTCTAATGATTCGGTATAATTTCCTAATTCTAAATTGGACAACCCAAGCATTGAATAAATATTTGCCAAAATTTCATAATAATTTGAAACCTGTGATGAATCCCATGTTTTAACCTCATGAAGTAAATTCTCGGCATGTTTCACTGCTAATTCATGTTGATGCGCCCGTTGCACTGGATATTAAGTTTATTGAAAACAGAGTAACGTATAACATAATCAATGGAACTTATATTTTTACAATACGTTTCACAACTATAATACCTTTCATTTGGAAATTATTTGGAATCGTTTCTTCATTTATTTGCCACGTGTTGCACAAACAAAAACAACTCAGAGAAGAGTTTCGTTACTGAGAATTTCACTCTTGAAGCAATTACATTTAAATATTGACTGTGTAGGGCAACGATCAGTGCAATAACCAATGACCCTGGTTTTAACACTTTCATAATAAATCAGTTTCATGATGAATATTTTCTTGATACATTTATGTTGTCGCTATACTGGTTGCATCTTTCGTATACAAAATGTTGATAATTTCCGTGTAAAAGAATCCATAGGGTTGTTTAAAAAGTTAGTTAGGTTTGTTATATATGGTGATAAATAATCGGCTAGAACCTATACACTGACTGAGTTACCTCCCGTGAGTGAGTCCCACTTGGTTTGATTTTTATTTTGTTACGCTTAACCAGTAACGTTTTAAGTATCGGAAATTTTTATTAAAAGTTGCTCTCTGCAAGGCGGGAAATTTGTGATAGCTCATAATAGGGTTAGCAACTGTTTCACATTTTCATGGCCTTCGGTTTTAAAAAAAATACATAAGTAGCTGAATACTTCACAATTAAAGATAAGAACCTCTAAAAGACATTGAGTGATGATAGCCTTGTATCGCGTATTAATTGAAGTCGGTTGATTTTTTATCATATGATGATGCTAGATGGCACTGGGACTTTCTCAAAATCTGTCAGTCTTTATGGATGCTTAAATTATATTAAGCAATCCAAAACTCACGTGAAAACATAAAACTTCATGACAGAAAGTGAGGATTCCAAATGTTTTACAGAACAAATTTAAATCAATTTCTCTGGTTGCTTTAATGTCCGAATTGTTACTCAGAATAGCTGAATATACAGAATTTATCCATGAATAATAGTTTTTAATTGGTTAATACTTTTTGAAACTTATTGCTTTAGAGTATTGGAAGTGCACTAAATGTTTCATTAGTTTCATTACTTCAGTTTACAAACGACTGACGAGATATCAATATCCATACAAAGCATTTATTGTGGATTGTTTCAAATTGTTGTGAAAGATTTTCAATTGTTACTCAAAACAGTATGTTCATAAGCATCCCAAACTGTTTCAGTTCATGAATATTAAATATATAACAGAATTAGGACATATAGATTCATATTATTTATGAATTCTTACGTATTTAAAAGTCTCTGTCAACTAGTTTCACTATAAGATAGGAATTACAAATATCAAACGTTATACTTGCTCTGTAAAACTGAAGTTGATGAATGTACACTTTTGTTTTACTTACCTAAAAATTCATCTCATATTTTAGAATATCATTTGAGCTTGAAACATCGCTAATAGCATTCTACTAGCAACCTTTGTTTTAAAATAACTATTTTTTACAGGGACATATTTTAGTTTTAAGAAATTATTACAACTTACACTTATCAATATGATGTAGTCTATTCAATACTTTATTAATTTCAGGGCAGCGTTGTTTTTTAGTAAGCTGAGGTTTTGTCAAGGGTTTCAATCTTCCAGCTTTCAGTCGAGCATAAACAGGTTTTTCTTGATGCCAAAATTTAGATCGTTCATCCAAATAAGTAATACCGTTACGTGCTAGATTACGTACTTCTTCAGAATATGTAGTCTTCCATTTTTGTGTAGCTAAACAATGTAATATTTGTTGTAAAATACTTGTTTTATTCGATTTAACGAAGTAGATAAAAATGAACTGGTGGTTAAATGTCATTAAACATGTTAGAAATTTATTAGACCATATAGAAAATGAGAATAAATGAATAGTACACTGTCTACGGAAACTACACTATTTAATAATTTCATAATATAATAATAGAAGGCATCAAGTTAAATAGTTTTAAAGTGATGGAAAGCTTAGGTAATTCAATATCTGGTGGTTTGAAATGGATTCGAATGTAAATAATAACCTTTCTGTTCAACAATGGGTCAATCAGTCATAGATAATATAAAACGTGACGACGATGGCTAGTGGTTCAATTTACCTCAGTTGGCACCATCACAACAGGAAAGTACATTATTATGTAAATATAAGCGAAGTGAATATTGGTCAAAATAAAAAATTGACATAAGTACAGTTCAAAACGGATAAAATCGTTGAACGTAAAATATGATACCCAACCCAGTATTTACAAATAGATGTAATGATGCATGTGAGACATTGTGACTGAATCATGGACATGTTGCTTAGCATCTTCAACCACAGCTCACGATAATCCAGCGAGTACCGAGTCGAAAATCTACAACTACCCAAAGGATGGTAACTCTATGAGTTGATGCATTTTTTTAAGCTATTTGATCTAATCTTCTGTCATTTTCCTTGATTTCCAGTCGGAATTACGAATAAAGATAAGAAAGGGTTATGTTTGCGAATTATATGTCCCAACAAGCATGAAATTAAGCATCAGCTTAGGAATAATGATGTGTTAAAAATTTACACATTATGTACATGCTATACAACGAAATGAATAAATTTGCTTACACTCTTGCTTTAACAACTCTTCCAGGTATTCGTGATCTGTATATAATGGACCAAACATGATTTTAGACATATTTTTCGGAATCAAATTGATAGGAATATTCTGATTATCTTGATCACCGTCTCCATTGGAAGGGTCACCAGTTGCTTTTTTGGACTTTTGAGTTATTTGACGTGACTTAGCTTTCTACAAATTTTTAAACAAAAGACATTTGAGTTACCGGTTACTTCCTCCATGAAGCGAAACAAGAAAAGTAAATGGTATCTTTGTGAATAAGATGTTTGATGTATACCATTAAACAGATTAAACAGTCTTCTCCAATGTCAGTAACGGAAATAATCTTTCCTTTCTTTTAATAAAGGTTTGTAGAACTGTTTCAAAAACGTTTTGTAATTAGCCTCTAAGTTAACCAAAGTAAACCTGATTTTATATGATTGTCTTGGGTTCTCTTAGCAGTAAGTTGTATGTGTATGGTTCCATTTTTGATAAGCCACTAGTTTATATCTAAATTAGTGGGACCAGAGACATATTCAAATGTGATTTAGAGTACAAACAAAGAAAAGAAGTTATAGTTCCAAATGGTTGAATGAATGCAATAAGAGGATCCCTAATTACTGAAATGTGGAATACCAAAACTATGCAATAAAATAAGAACTACTTACAAGTAGCATAGTCTAATAATACTGAATAAGTGACAGAAATGCTGTAAAACGAAAATTACAAAACGAAAATTATACAAATGAAAATAATAATAAGAGACCGATAGTTCAGTAATGAGAGTTATTTATGCCAATATATCACAACAAATTGTAATACCGCATGAGTGAATTCCAGTGGAATTAACAAGATTAATAGCTAAGGAACCAAATAGATATACTGTAGCAGATTCATGTTAAAAATCAACTACGATTTTACTAGTGATTTCTTATTGGTCAAAGTCAGACAACACTAGAAAAACACACAAAGTTTTCCGGGAGACACGATTTACAAAGTAAACCAGACTCCGACTTAAGTGATTTATTCTACAGCTCATGGATGTACAACAGAGTAATGCATCTAGACATTGATCCTTAGGGTATACAATATAGGTGCAACTAATAATAGTAAAGCATAATTTAGCTAATTTACGAAGCAGACGTTCATAGGATAGGATTCAAGCTACATTTCTATTGAGCATAAGGGGTAGTGTTATTACCAAACTTTCTAAAGTGAAGTTGTCAGAGGAAATCTTGGAATTATGATTTAGTGAATAAAAGTTAAGACGCTTAATAGTAAAGCCAAATTTAACCACAGTTGGAACAACAGCTGAAAGTTTCAAACCGCTTATCTTAGCGAGGAAAATATGCATGGATGGAAAAGGATGTATCAAGAGAAAACTGATGAATAGCTCAAAGACTCATTGAAAATCGTGTTACACTGAAGATACCGAAATAAAGAAAGAGCATTTTTAAATAACATTTACAAATTGGTTGAGCATTTATACTTACTATGTCAATAGAGTTGAATGATTACCATGCAACTGAGAATACTAACCAAATATTTACAGTAGTGCAAACAAAATAAGTACGAGTTAGTTACAGACAGAGTAAACTACCATGCAACAACACAAAAAAGATTAAAGATCAAATGACAATCTACAAAAAAATCTAAATTCCAATCTATTTTACTTGTGCTTTTTCTTCCTATAATAAAGAATAAAGATATGTATAGTCTAACGGATAGTGAAGATTAGAAAAGATTATCATTAAAGTACTATTTCATAGTTATTTATTTATTTGATTGCATTATAACGAAACAAAATTCTGGTTTTGATTGTCATGTTTACCTAACGCACTGAGAATTAAATATTGTGAACATAAAGATTGTCATTTTGCAGCAAACTTGCAGTTTAATATTAATGTTTCTTACCACATTTTTTAACGTTTTCTTGTTTTAATTTATATATACTTTTTTAAGGTAGATTTAGTAATCGCTGAAGTGATCACTGCCGATAATATTCCTCGCTGGAAAATGCAGGGCAAAGATAATCTTGGATATGGATCAAATTAGTTATGCTTCAATGAGTTTCAAATATTGGTTTCTACTGAATTTTCATTTTATTTTTATTGGGTGAAAATCTCAGGCTCTGCTGATAATGTTTCCAGATTGCAAACTTAGTAAATAGCTGACTGCATACCTTCAGGCAATAAACTGTTGGACACATATTTTTCAGTCTATGTTTGCTTTTTATATTATAATTACTGAAGTTTTAAATAGTTTAACGTTCACTTTGCTGGACAGAGTTAAAAGTTTAGAACTAAGTGATAGTATCTACAAATTAATATACTGTTAGATCAGTTTTAAAACAGGTGAATACTTTGGAGTTGTATTTATTGCTTGTATTCACAGTGCACAAGTATTTGAATAGATGATAAAGAAATGCAAAGTAATTTGTACGAAAACTTACATCATCCATTTGCTTGACAAAACCTTTTGCACCTGCACTACCAATTTTAATTTTCTTATGACCTGCAATAAAGAAAAAGAGAAGCCTCGGCGACATGTTTAGAGAGCGTTGTACTTTAATTTTCCAAAAGCAAACACAAGTATTATCTTACTTACTTTCCATCCAAGAAACTATATAGTTGTTTAAAACTACTAGGAGGGTGATCATAGATTTACTGATTGTGTATCGAATGTAAAAACAAAACTCAGAGGTTAAAGACTTCTTTTTTATTCAAAGTGATTTCAAATGTGATTTTCTGTCTTACACGTTTACTTGTTAACAGATAGTTTCGAAAAGTACAATTTATTATTCATTTGATCAAATATCAACCAAATATGTTCTTAGTATAACTCTATAAACGGTAACAGTGGACATCAATAAAGCAAAACATCCAGACTTGTGATTTAAATGATACATCAACCAACGGTTAGACCTTTCACATTAACACTAAATATGTTCTTAGGAAGAAAAAGCTCTAACTACGTCCCATATTCTACGTTGTTTCAATTTAGTCAAAACACTAATAACAACTGTGTAAAGAAGTTTACTGAACAGTATGTTATTATTTGTAAATGATTATAAAAGCATTCGCCAAAGTTTGAAAAACGCTCGACAGAAATTACTGGCCAACTATACCAAAAATTCTAGGTGCAATTTTCTAACCAAATACTCGGTCAACGAGATTATTTGAAATGTGGATCTAACATTTTCTCTTATACCTGGTAGAGCAAAATTCTACTTACATAATCTTTCTTTTCAGTGTCCTTCAAAAACTTTGAACTATTTTCAAACAAAAATAATGTCCTAAAGAGAGTGAAACACTTTATTGACAACATAATGGCAAAAATTTAGAACATTTTTACTCTAGAAAACAGATACAAATGAACAACTAATGATGAACTCGTATTTTCTCAAGGTTTCTAATCATAGTTCATTTTGTATCTTAAGTTAGCAAAAGTCTTCATCATACAAATTCGATGGATATAGATTAAAATACTTTCGAAACATTCGTGATAATATTAAAGTTCAGCCCATATGATAAAAATGATTTTAGTCTGGTGATTTTACAAAAACTGAAATACTTATGGATGCCACTCCTCAGCCAAAGCGAATGCTCCGATCAAACAAACCAGAATTGTATAGCAAATTTTCGAATTTTTTTATAATTACAACTGGAATTGTAGGGTAACTTTCTAATTTACCTGTCAGAGAGTTTTCTATAGCTTCTTCAGATTTCTGGATCCCAAGTCGAAACATTTGTAATTCCGGTCTTTGTTGTTGTCCACGGTGAAAATACACAAGGGCATGTTCAAAATCTCCTTTATTGTAGAGAATCTGTCCCTTCAAATAAAGGGCCTAAACTATTTATAATCTCGAAATTTTCTAGTAGGCACCTTATAATAATTCGAATCCTCCACAAGTGCAGCATCCGCATCAATCAGAGCCTTGGTCAGATTTCCAAGTGCTAGGTAACATGAAGATCTTCTAAGAAGACAATGCCTATCATTTTCTTTTCTATCCAAGGCCTATGTTGAAAATAACAACGCTTGTTTCATATACCTGATCGTAAGCCATAATTGCCTTAAGATACTTTTTCTTCATTAAAAATGCGTCGCCCTCCGATCTGTAGACTTCAAAAGGGCATTTTGGTGCCTTATTTCTCTCTTCGGAAGAACTCCTAGACATCTTGAATTTTGAAAGTTGGTTTAAAGGTCTCTACGACGACAATGAACTTTTAATCCAAAAAACAAACCACAAGGTCAGTGAAAGACTTGATATGACTCACCTTACAAAAAGAAAATGTAAAACACCTGATGTGGAATATGTTTCTTAAAAACAGAGAATATATATCCAATATTGATCCGCGCTGCCTGTTTGAAAAGTGTCTGAAAGAACCAACTCTGTTGATCAGTTCCTGGAGTGCATTGAAATCTATTTTCCGAGGTTCGTGAATTGAAAAAACTGGCTAGTAAGCACCCTTTAAAAGCATACTTAAATGATTTTTTTACGATGTACGAATTTCATTTTAGGTTAATGTAATAGTCTAGTTCTTTTCAGTCTCATAAAACTGTAAGAATGGACCGAAAATGATATAAAATCTTTCAAATCATGCACCTGTCCAAAATCTCTTAGGTGGCTAAAGCTCTGATAAGAAACCTAAACAGGACTAAGGAATTCATAGCTTGATCAGGAGCTTATTATTTGTACAACAGTAAATATGTTTGCAAAGTAAATAGTTTTGTAGGTCTCACAACGACACTGACCTTGTTGGTTCTACTTAACTCGCCCTAGCTGAAGTCTCTCGGTCAAGCATATGTACATAAACACGTTCGGGAATGTTGTGCAGGCATTTCTTGAAACAACTAGTCAGTCTGGTTCATGTGCTTCATAGCGCATCGGCCATCTTCCAAATATATCTTCTGGCTTTCCTATTTCTGATTTATAGTCTTTACGAACTTCAACATTATCAAGCACTATATATCTACGATATCTTTAGTCTTACAATATACTAAAATGATCAAGAACAATTCGTTTTGCGATCTTATTTATTTTGATTTCAGTTCCTGATCGGAATACATCTTTGAGTTTAACCTAGTTATCCTGAGCGTGTTGTTCCATTTCGTAACTCATACCAGTAAACCTCAAGATCTATTCATTGCAGTTAACCTTCTTTCACACGAGCAAGTGTGTGCTATTTACACGGGCAGATATAAATATCATGTATCGGAAGTAGACAGTAGAAAATGAGGAGATAAGACGGAAAGCAATCGACATATAAATGGGCATGAAAGTAAGGTTGATTTTCTGCAGGACAGCTCAAAAAAGGTTTGCAGATGGTGTATTTTATGTATTGTCTTTATATTTTACAATCTCAGTGTGTGATTTCGCCTAATATGATTAGTTTGCTAACTGGAACCACGTCTCCGCACATTATAGCGCTAGTTATCTTACTTTTAAATTACTAAAATCGGAAACTTTTTATATTCTACCTGCTCTTGATGGAACATGCTTGATTAAACACCCCAGTAACTACATAAACAAGCGACGTTGTTCCTTCACGTATTTCGTGTAATCTATGTTTATAATAATTTAAAATGTCTTATTAACCACCCTGCAACAACTTTTATTTGTGTGCGTAAAGAGAAAATCAATGCGCAACATCTTAAAGGTGATATCCTTACAATTACATCGGAGACAGATAAGCTAAAAGTGGGTCGTACACAAAGAGTGCACTAAAACTGGAGTGAGATAAATGCATTGTCGGGATTGTTTAGCCGAATCTGTAGAAAAAAATGGTGAACGTTCAAGTCCAGTATAGTATCACTAAACTCTAGTCAGGTCATTTGTCTACCTAAGAATATTGATAACTAAAAATACTGACCATTGCACTTTAGTTGCTTTACAAAACTTTGTTGAATTCAATAACGACTGATGCAAATTGATCATCACTGAAATGAACCATGTAGTATTCTGTCGTTTCTCAGTTTGTCCTTTCTAAAAAGAAATTCACAAGTAAGATTTTCTCAGTTTTCTTGAGGAATTAAGAGGGCAGGAAAGCCTAGGAATTGCGTCACGATGAGTTGGGCTAGACGATCTTTCGATTCGAGGTACTTAAGTTACATAATCTAGTTTAACTCAACCGGGTGAAGATAATTAGTTGAACCAAACAATTAATCGCTTTAGATGATCTATACTTGCGCACCTAAAAACCTTTAAATATAGCTCACATTGAAACTGTGGCACTGGGATTCACTAACTTTTCATAACTTGAAGGCTAATGATTAAAAATCTGCCACCTGATTCTTCTTAATCAAGGGTACCTCTTTCTTTCTATAATTGTACTAGTCCGAAGGATCCAAACCCACATAATTCTGCTGTAGAAGAAATAAACTCAGAATTAAAAGTAAAGAAACCAGTTGCACCACAAAAGTTCGCATCAGGAGGGGTTTTCACAAACATTTAAACAAAACTCTCGCAAAAGTTCTTACAGTAATGGAAGACAAACAGATTAGTTAGATTACGGTTTTCAAATACAGATGAATTTGTTCGTTATCGGCAGGTGAGATGGCCTTATATTGTACACACTACCAATACACAGAACGTTTCCGAACTCCCACTCCAGATTGTGTTTCGATAGGCCATTCAAATCACCTATTTTGATAAATAACCAAGATATTATATAGTACAAGGCTCTGTCTATTATTTCATATATTGTTCAGTCCCATCATTTATGACTCCTGGGTTATTGGCTTTCAGATTGTGCCATTAATGGAGGTTCGGATACTATCCAATGCTCCATCAGGTCTGTAACTGAATCTGTCCAAAACTGTTAACTTTCAAACTCTTGTTGTCGGACTCCAAAGTGGATTTTTCAGTTTAGTTAGCCAACAAATGTCCTAAATTAGCTGGATATTTTTGTTGTAGCGGAACGATCATGTGAAATAAATGTTTTCAATTTTTCGAGAAGCCTGTATACTTTATTAAGAAAGTTTATACATAAAACTGAAATATTTAGATATTAATGGATGTCCAGTTAAGTGACTCTATGATTATTTTTAGCTAGATTACAATTCGGTTGTTGTTCGCCTCACAACCCCTAATGAAGCATAACAAACATTACTTCTCTCGTCTGCTTCAAATAGTTTTATTTCTGTTTTTCTTAGCAGTAACAGTTTGTGTACAGATGTGATGATTTATATATAACAGGCTTCAGGACGTCTGTGCAGTATGCGTAGAAGAGTTCACGACAATTCCTGTGCTATAGGATACAGCTTATATTTTGTGATTATAGCTAACCCACAAGACGCTAGAAGATGTTTTTACAGTGTCCTTTTGATGAAGTCTGGTACTTATAACCATGTTGCGGAGTCAAAGATAGGCATTATTATTATTATTCACAAACATCTTATGGGTACATAAGTGTTGTGAAGAAACCATTTCGGGTTTCTTCAGAAAATGCAATAGTACACAATTTTCAATAATGTTAGCATTATACTTGCCATATTAAAAAAAATTTAGAATAATAATAGTAGAATATTAATAATAATAAATCGGGTCTGTGTAATTGAGAAGATTATTGAATGGAGTTTAAAGAAAGAAATGGAGAAAATAAGGGAATAGAAATAAATGAGACGTGAAATACGCAAACAGTATAATAGGCGTGTTTATGAACACAGAACAAGAATAAACGACTATGTGTGTATCGTTAAATTAGTAACAAAAATAATTAAGAAAAAATAATTTATCATTGTAGTAAGATATGATGCTAGAATAAATGTTTGTGCAGTTATAGTTTAGAGTGATGCTATGAAAGTCACATTTAAGTGAAAAGGATAATAAAATATCACTCTGTATGAGTCGTATATGCGTAGTGAAGATAAAACGGTTCTGAGAAGTTAATTTAAGTGTAACACAAGTTATTGTCTTATTTACAAACTTCATAATCTTAAGAATAATATTTATTTAGAAGGGAAGAAGAGAGAGAAAAGAAGTGAACACCTAGTGAAAAGATTCATCCATGATAATAATAATAATTGTGAAATGAATATCAACCACAGAAGGAAACCAGCAATTGAAAAAATAAAAATCCTTTGAAACACTCGGATGAATACATTTAGATTTATGTAATAGTATACAGAATGTAACCAGATATTAGTATAAATATTTGTGCAATAATAATTAAGATTGATGCTATGAAAGTCAAAATTGATTTCAAAGGACAATCTGGAGTTAAATATGTTTAGAAAGATAAGAAGAGATAAAAAGAATACCTAATTGACGGCCTGTTAAGTTGAGAACTAGTGGTGATATGATGTTAAATGAATTGTCCATGAGAAACAATGTCAAACATAACAATGTCTCACCTCGAATATAACGGAGCAGAAATATGAAAGATAAACCATTCCAGATACATATACATAAACACAATCTGCCTTTCGTCGTATGATGACAAATTCAGTGAGAACCTCATGATCTCTCTCCTACAAAAAGTGATCTTGCATCCATGGAGCCAGTGATCTATTTATTGGTGAGGATGACACAAAACACCACCAAAACAATGCCACTGCGAGTTCCTTATTCTATTCGTATTTTACCGGCTTTCTAATTTTACATACGGTATATGCCCAACATACACGATAAACAATAGTGGTCCAATGACTAACCCCTGGAGGAGACCGTTAATAATGTATTGAGGGTCATAGAAATGTTTCCTTATTTTCACTACCTGAGTTCGATCTCCTAGAAAGAATAAAATCCACTCATAAGTTTTACCAGCTAAAATGAAAGTATTTTACTTATATAAGCGAGAAGAGTGTTGTACTTTATCAAACTTTTTGATGAAGTCAAAGTAGAGAGTGACAACTTGATTTCCTTCATCCCAATTGTTTCTTACCTGGTCAAAGTATTTTAGATGATAGGCTATGCATGATAATTTTGATATAAATCAGTGTTGTGAGGATATAATCAACTGGTGTTTAGTTAGATGCAATACTACTCTCTCCCTATCAAGCTGGGATATGTACAAATATAAGACTTTAGGGCGAACCATGGAATTTCTAACGGGTTTCATTTCACGCAATCTTCTAGAATTACACGACCGTCGAAGCACAAGTATTTCGAGCTTGCTGGTTGTATGGTTTCATCTTTTCATTACCCAGTACCCAAACTTTCTCATACATTTCTTTCCTCCTATGAGGAGGTTGAGAAACTC